GGGGCCGGGAGCGGCGGGAGAGGAGGGGACCCGGGCACGGCGGTCCCTGTCCCGGCCCTGGCGCGGGTCCCCCGGGCGGCGTCGCCGAGCCTCACACCCGCCCTGTGCAGCGGGGACGGCGCCTCCTCTAGCGCGTTCTCGTCCCGTCTTCTCAGTCCCTGATGCCGGCCCTGATAGCTGTTTCCGTAAGTTGAACCCAGCATATATGGGGTTAAAAATCAAAAAGCCCTCATTCCCCCTTCTCTGCTTCTCTAAGATCCGTTCACACGTAGATATTGGTTGTTTCAGGCTTTGTATCCCTGAATTCCACAAGGCAAATGGAGGTAATGAATTGTTAGAAGCCCAAGAAATTGGGCCCTGGGGAGAGGAAGGAAACTGCAGCCAATTAACGATTACAAAGTTTACTAGGTTTTAGATAGGGCCACATTGCGCCGGCCACATCCTGTCCTTTGGACAGGTCCCCAAGATTATCCTGACAGGTGGCCTGGTGCTGCTCAGGTGCTACAGGTGAGTTGTCAACCTCTGGAGTGAGAAGTGAGGACTCAGCCTCTAGAAGAGGAAACTAGGATTCAGTGACTGGTGGCACCTGTCTGCACCTGACCTCTGATGGGACAGTGATGGTCTCTGTTTCCGTGGTGAGGGGGACCTAGGGAGCCTGGCCCAAGGGTATAAATCACTGCCACCCAGGGAGACCTCCTCCCCAGAGGACTAAGCAGCAGGACTTCCTGTTGCCTTCACAGCCCTGGGCTCTGAGCTCTGTTGCCTCCACCCTCTGCTCTCTGGGTTCCACTTCCATGTGTTGGTTTGGAAAGTGCCCTGAAAGGCGGATGGGAGGATGCGACCGCACATGCTGTGCCTTTCTTCTGCTGGCACTCTCTTTTAATTTTCATTTGAGCTGTTACAGATAACAATAACCAAGAGATTACATATTGTGCTTTTTTCTTATTAGTTTCCATTTCCTCATGCATCCAGTCAACCAAGTCCCCGGGAGCTGGATCCATCTCTAAATTCCACTGGTAACTTTACCTTTAGTAACTGATTGCAGCCCAGCCACTGCCCCATACCATGGATAACCAGGTGGCCACTCAGGAATCAAAGGTTCCTGATCCCCCATCCTTTCAACTTTTCTTTTCCCAAACCACATGTTTCCATGAGTCAGGGCTATTAATCCCACTTTTCTGACACCAAGGGAAGACCCCAGTGGCCTCCACAGAACTTTCCGTGGCCTTTGAGGAAGGACCTTGCTGGGACTGAGGGGAGATCAGTAGGCAGGCCCAGTTCCCCCACCGCAGCTGGCCAGCCATGGAGCATGCAGACAACGAAATGCAAAGCAGTCTTTAAACAGAGGCAGCTTCAGGTCTACAAAGTGTGGCAATAAGGAAGTAAAAGGTGTAAAAGGAGGAAGTAGCTTTAGATTGTCCAAAATACATTGTTAAGTGAGAAAAGCAAAAGTACAGATCTGTATATGAAACATGGCTTTCTTTTTACTAAGAAAAACAACTTGTATAGGAACATATTTTAACATATAGACACACACACAGAGCAATCCATGTGCAAAAACAATTTTAAAAGGATACTATATTGCAAACTTTGTTTTTCTCCAGGAAGTTTAATTATCTGAGCCTTTTGACATTCTATTTTGTAATTGTATATGGTGTAAGACTTCTTTAATAAGCAATAGAAAACATTTTATACTTTTTTTTGTAGTAGGAAAACAAATATGTATTGATCCAGGTTTTTTTCCCCAACTTCAGTTAAAAAATCCTACAGATTTAGGCAGAATCCTATTAATTGCAAGAAATCCAGGTACACGTGTCTGCAGAATACATAGCAGAAGGATGGAAATTTCTTGAACATGTATCAGAATCACTTGGAGGCTTGTTAAAACACAGATTCTTGGGCCTGATCCACAGAGTGCCTGATTCAGTACATCTCGGTTCAGGATTGAGAATGTGCATTTCTAATGAGTCACCAGGGGACACTGCTAGGGAAAGTCCAGAGATCAAACTCTGAAAATCAGATTCTAGGAAAGATGAGGCTGCCTGGGTTCAGGCCCCAGTCCACCACAGTAGAGATCAGCAGGCTGTGAGAGGCAGAGCCAAGATTTCTCACCCGTATGCCCTGAGTGTGTGTGCAGTGAGCAAAGCAGAGGAATGGCTGACTGGGCTGGTGTCCCAGGCCCTCCACTGCTGAGGAGACCTGTGAAGCCTCCACCCACTGAACGACCCAGTCACCTGCTTCTTCTGCCCGAAAATTATTGCAAAAATACCCACAAGGCTCATCCCTCACCAACTTCAAGGGTTTTCTCCTCTTATCAAGGAGCCCCCTTACTGTGCGGTGTAATGTTATATTCCATACTACCCCTCTCAGGACACTCACCCTGTCTTCTTCCACTTCTGCCACATTCTAACACACTGTATAATTGAGCATTTATTCTTTACTGTTTCTGGTCTTTCTTCCTTGAATACTAGTTAAGTCCCATGGGTGCAGGGATCTTTGTCTCTCTTATGACCCAGTGTCTCTCATGCACCCACAATAAGTCCTAAAACCTAATATTTGTTCATTGATCATTAGTGAGACCAGAGAATAAACATGACATCTCAGCTTCCTTGTATATTTTTACAATTCTGGCTACTCTCCATGTCTCCTCCTTCTATGCTGGTATTGCTCAAATTTTTCAAGAACGAAGAAGAATCACATTTTGGAGATAAAACTTTCAGTGACTCTTCTAGTCATGTGCTCAGCTTAATTCTATCTGTTCACAGACATCACTGCTAAAACTTCTCAGAGGTCTTACCTTTTGTCACCTTCCACTGATGTTTCACCAGAGCTATTTCTGCCACCATCTCTGAATCCATACCTATACATTGTTAATAGCTCTTTCCAATTTTCATTTTACAATGTTTTTCTGAGATAACATCAATTCTTCATGCAAAACAGTCCCTGCATCCCAAGAGAAATGATAATCACTTCTTAGAGATAAAATCATGAATTTAAGATACTCCCACTATCTCCAGGTTGAGAGCACCCTTTGCATACAGGCTCCAACTTTGAGCAGTGCAGCTATTGCACCATACCAAAATAGCATTTTTCTCCTTGTTCTCTTTTGTTTTGTTTTTGTGAGGAAGATCAGCCCTGAGCTAACATCCGTGCTAATCCTCCTCTTTTTGCTGAGGAAGACCAGCTCTGAGGTAACATCTATTGCCAATCCTCCTCCTTTTTTTTTTACCCCAAAGCCCCAGTAGATTGTTGTATGTCATAGTTGCACATCCTTCTAGTTGTTGTATGTGGGACGTGACCTGAGCACGGCCGGAGAAGCAGTGCGTCGGTGCACGCCCGGGATCCGAACCCGGGCCGCCAGTAGCGCAGCGCGCGCACTTAACCGCTAAGCCACTGGGCCGGCCCCTCCTTGTTCTCTTTTTGAGACTGATGTTAGAGTCCTAAAAGGAACTGAATATATATCAGGATATCAAGTAAGAGATATTAAATGGATCAAAGTGTTGCTCAATAAATTGGACAGAATAATTGATTATACAGACAGGAAAGAGGTTTTCTTTGGTAACCAGAGACAGATCTGTTAAAGAAAAATTATTCAGACACTTGTTAAATGGTAAGGCAGACTTTTACTCGGGACCATTATGATAGGTGTAGAGACAATGGGGTTTTGCAGTAGGGGAGAGATATTGGACTCAACTCCAATTTTTTTTAAACAGTTGGGATTTACAGCTAAGGAGGGTGGGGGTGAGTGCATGGAAAATTACTAAGAGAGCAGGGAAATTCTTCCCAAACTGACCTAAAAGATTCTTGCTGAAGACAGGTCAGCGTGATCAGATATCACCTGTGTGATGGTGATGGATGAGGAAATTTAATCAGGTATCAGTGGTGATCAGATACTGAGGATGGGAAATTCTCGCTAAACCAACTTAGCAGGCTTCTTGCTCTAGAGGACAAGGCCCAACAACTGGACCTAGTCAAAAATGGTTAGAGGAGCCTGACTAAAGTTAAGTAAAGGTGAGACTCTTTGTCAGATCTATCTTTGTACTCCTGCTTCAGCGTGGCCCAACATTCTTCCTCTATTTTCCGTGACATGGCACAATCTGGGGTATTTTCTCTCTTGTCTCTGACCAAACATAATAGATTGACAAACTGACTTTAATGCTTCAGAGTGCATGCATTTGAATGAAATAAGATAATGTTTATTAGCTTCCACTAATAGTGGACACATTTTCTGTCCGAATGACTCTATGGAATTATATGTTTATTTGGATTTGTAGCCTTTGGAAGCATCTGAAGTAATATTTTTAGCCTCTGAGAGCACGCTGAGCTTCACTGAAGGTGAAATAATGTCTCCAAACAGTTGGGTGATCAGCTGCAGCGAGCACTCCGCACAAACATGATTAGGATCCCATTATAGAGGGGGCAAAGCACCCCTGGATATGCCATTTCCAAACGCTCGTCCCTGCTGGAAAAGGGGGAAAAAAGCCCCTTAATCTAAGTCTGTGGATCTGTGGGGACTACATTACCCAGAATGCTCGGAATCGAGCGGCAGCGTCACTATCCAATGAGAGCTTTGAAAAGAGGTTCCGCGTGTGGTCTGTAACATCGGGGCGGGGCTTCCGGCCGCCTTTCGGAAGGTGACCGTGTTAGCTGCTGGCGGTTTTGTTCAGTAGGTAAAAGGCTCTGGAGCGCTGGGTCGGGGCTGAGGTGACGGGACCGAGGAGGCGCCGTCCCCGCTGCACAGGGCGGGTCTGAGTCTCGGCGACGCCGTTTGGGGGACCCGCGCCAGGGCCGGGACAGGACCGCCGTGCCCGGGTCCCCTCCTCTCCCGCCGCTCCCGGCCCCCCTCCGCCCCGGAGTCCGATGGCGGCGGCCGCGCGGAGGGAGCCGGCTCAGGTCAGTGCTCGTGCTCCGCGCCCTCCCCGCCCTCAGCCCAGCCCAGCCCTAGAGCCCCGAGTGCGGGCGCCGCTCACGGGCCTGCAGCCCAGGCCCCGGTGTCCGGGACGGGGAGGGGCTCGTGGGGCCTGTTTCTGAGAGCCGGGGTGACAGGGGTAGGAGAGTGTGTTAAGAAAAATAAAATTCAACTTGGTAAATGTAAAGATCTAAGTGGCGTTATTCAACGATTCATGAATAGGGCAGCATCACATCCAACAGGAAGGAGCTCTGAAGACCTGTACAGAATGACTCATTGGGCCGGCCCCGTGGCTTAGCGTTTAAGTGCGCGCGTTCGGCTGCTGGTGGCCCGGGTTCGGATCCCGGGCGCGCACCGAAGCACCGCTTCTCCGGCCATGCTGAGGCCGTGTCCCGCATACAGCAACTAGAAGAATGTGCAGCTATGACATACAACTATCTACTGGGGCTTTGGGGGAAAAATAAATAAATAAATAAAGAGCAACACAAAATGATTGACCTATTAAAAAAAAAAAAAAGAATGACTCAGGCAGAAAGGGGCGGCAAGAGGAAGGCACTAGGGAAGAGTGGATTGTTTGGCGCAAAGTCACCTTTCTTTGGGGAGTAGCAGGGGTCTGTCAGACGGGTTTTGTCACTAGTGCTGACGAGGAAATTTCAAACCTACTGGTTAAGATTACATTCCTGAGAGAGGCTGAAACTGCAGTTAGGTTAGATAGAAAGCCTCCTTTTGCTGACGTGCGCTTAGTACAAGTGACTCCATTTTGTGCTTGTTTCTTTTAACAAGTGCTATAGGCAGAAAGACAGCTGGTAAAACGAACTGAGCGCTGAGGCACGAGGTTAAACGTCCGGCCGAGGCCTACTCTTCAGGGTCAAGGAAGGGTCCACGGAGGCCTGAGCCCATCGAACACCACCGTGGACGCATGCCTCTAGGGTCTGCCTTTTCCCACACTGCTCACGGCTGCAGAAACGCTTATGGAACCAACCCAGCTGAGAGGAGGGTGTCCCTTTTCCTCACTGGCCCTGATCCTCACCCACACGTCTCTGGATTGTTGTGTCCCAGGACTCTTAAGTGCCATTCCTGTTCTCCCTCTTAAGTGGAGACCCTGGAGAAACCCCCAACCTGTGCCAGGAGTCATATGAAGGTGTTTCCATTTCTGGTAACCAGTGTAAACAGGTATGGAAGGTTATCCCAGGAACTGGTAGCACAGTGTGCCCATGCCTGAGTTGAAACTGAGCTGGAAGTGTTCAGGAAACTACAGATCTTTTTTCTTTCAATTGGGTAGAAAGAGCAGGGGGACGGGAGTCAGGACGGAATGACTGCCTGAGAAGCTGGGTGTTTTTTCTGGCGGTAATGAGATGTGTGGGTCACAGGAGGGAAGTGATTTTGCTAAGGTCTTAATAGGCTCCCTCTGGCTGTAGTATGACTATAGACTATGGGGTTGAGGGAAGAGGAAAATCAGGGTGGAGTCTGCTGACATCATCCAGGTGAGGGTTAAGGGACCAGAAGTCATGGTTTAGGAGATGTGATTGAATTCTGGATGTGTATTTTAAAAAGTGACCACTAGGGGCCGGCCCGGTGGCGCAGGTGGTTAAGTGCGTGCACTCCGCTGCGGTGGCCCGGGGTTTGCCGGTTCAGATCCCGGGCGCGCACCGACACACTGCTTGGCAAGCCGTGCTGTGGCGGCGTCCCATATAAAGTGGAGGAAGATGGGCATGGATGTTAGCCCACGGCCAGTCTTCCTGAGCAAAAACAAGAGGAGGATTGGCAGATGTTAGCACAGGGCTGATCTCCTCACAAATAAAATAAAATAAAAAGTGACAACTATATTTTCTAATGTGGACCAGGAAGGAGTGAAACAGGATTCGGGGATGTTCCTAGGGTTTTCTTGTTAGCCGTTGTGGGAATGGAAGCTCTATCAATTGAGATGAGAAAGTTGGTAGTAAGAGTGATATTCACAGGAGCTATCAGGAGCTTCTGAGGTGTTTCAGAGAGCGCTAAGTGGAGGCATTCAGTGAGCAGCGAAACACACAGGTCTGGAAATCTGGGGAGGGGTTGAGGATGAAGACTATTCTAAAGTGTTATGGCTGCTATGTGGGCCAAGGTGAATGAGCTGTGGATCACATTTAGGAGGAGCAATCTTCTGGTTATGGTGGTAAAGCTATTAGGGTACCAGGAAGAGGGGGAGGTTAGGGACTCAGGACTGGATCTGTTGTTTGTGTATCTGGGTGATGGCATTGGACTTCACAAAGAGAGGTGAGGGAGGTAAGTGGCTATGAAAGGAGAGTGTGTCAGGGACAGGATAGTCTGGCAGGTGGTTTCCAAAAGAGTAGACATGAGATGGGTACAGAAGCTTAGGAGTAATTAAAGCAAGATGGCACTCAGGCCTGAGCTGGTGTTTATTCACCGCTCTGTGAACTCCACCAGGATTTTGTGAGGACTTTGGTGGGGCCTGAGTGTTTCATTCCGCCTGGAGGATAAAGTCATCTGTGAGGGTCACTAGGCCTGGGGTGGGCCACCAATGAGGCTTGGCTTTGAATGATAGTTGGATGGACAGTGGAAGGTTATGACTGCTGAGGGGACATGGAGTGCAGCACAGGAGTGGAAGAGGGCCATGGGTATCGGAGATCCACATACGGTTCTGTGTGGCTAAGTCTGAGGGAGGGAATGGAGCCAGGCAGTGAGGCTTTCCTGCAAGGAATGGGCTTGGGCTGCCACTAGGGGAAAGCATGGTAGGTCTAGGGTAGTATTGGATCCTGTTTGAATTTGCCAAGTGTACTCTGGATGCTGTCACCCAGTTGTAATGTGAGTCCTCAAATTAAGGCCCAGTATCATGTGCTGCCTTGACATCTGGTGAAAGCCGGAGGGCCTCAAATGGCCTGAGTGCAAGGTCCCCTCCCCACTCTGCTACTGCTGCTCAGGTCTCCTCGTTGAACAACCTTTTCATCAAAGGGACCAGGTACAGTTCCTGCTTAGTCCTATGTATGGATTTCAGTTCCCTACCAGCCCAGGGAGTTATGCAAACAAGCCAGTCACATCCTCTCACAGGAACCAGGAGGTACTCCATCCTCTTGATCCTATAAAGCTTGCATCCTACCCTGCTCCTGGTTGGTCATTCTTTTTCAAAGTGCAAGCCCCATGTGGCCCTGTGTGGAGTGTGCCGTCCTCCTCTCCCAGGCTGTGAATATATGTGATTAATAAACTGCTGTCCATCTGTTCTGTCCAGGGTTAGGTGTTGTGTGTTTGGCCATCCCATAGCCCTAAGATGGGAATCCCACCCTCACCTCAGCAGTGGGGTGAAGAGGAGGTGATTAAAACACAAGTAACATGTGGGGAGGCCAGGAGATCCCTGTGGTGTGGGACAGTGAGGTGGTGGTGACCATAGATTTGTGGCTGTGGATCCAGTCTCAAGAATTATGTGTACTTGGAGAGGGAGTACGTCTGATGACCCCAGAGCCCTGGTATTGAGACTTACATGACATTGGCCACACCAGTAGAATAGCCTGGCACAATCAGGTAGATCCCTCCATGCCAGGACCACAACTTAGACATCTACTTGTCCACTTCTTGCCTCTTCTTGCTGATGGCTGGAAACCGTGATCAGTGAGCCCATGAGGAGACAAGAGCACACATGGCACTAGGACCTGGTTTCTCCTCTGAGTTGGGGAGATTGGGAGGAGGATGGGCATGGGGCAGATGGATGGGGGAAGGGATTGTGGCTTCTCGGGAGAGGGGCTTTTTATGGTTTCATCTGTCCCCATCATGCCAGGGCAGTGTGACCTTTGAAGATGTGGCCGTGTACTTCTCCTGGGAGGAATGGAGTCTCCTTGATGAGGCTCAGAGACGCCTGTACCAGGATGTGATGCTGGAGAACTTGGCACTTATAACCTCCTTGGGTAAGGCCCTCACACCCACTCCTGTGCCCTGAGGTAGGCTCTACCCTTCCTCTTTCCCCAGGGCAGCTCTGTCCTTCTCACACAGGAACACGGGCACTGCTTTCTTCCTCAGTTTCCTCGGTAGGTGCTTGGTTAGTAAGGCTGAGGTGTGTGCACTGCCCTCTCCTTCCTTGAGAAGGCCCAACACCAGCTTCCCTGCTGACTTGCAGGGAAGGATGCAGGGTCAGGAGTCTTGCAGTCACCCTAATGGATCCCACCTGCTTGCCTTCTCCCTGACTGGTTTACTCTGTCTAGATGCAAGGCACCTGTGTGCCCCAAGTCTCCTTCCTTCCCCAAGCCGACATTTCCTCATGCCTGCCTGTGCCAGGAATTGCCATCACTGACATAGTCGCTACTTACCTGGACCATGGGCCGCTCTTGCAAGACACTCTTCCAAAGTTCTCTGTGTAATATTTAGTTTCCTTTCTTGTGGGCTGTCATGTACTGAGTTGTTCTGGACTAGTGCTGGCTGCTCATATGTCCTGTCTTTCCCTCAGTATTTATATCATCAAGGTGCCATGTATTTGCTCATAGAGGGAGTAGGGGTTGGGTTGGAGAGCCCACGGTGTTTCCCAGGATGTACAGGAATCCAGCCATGGCAAGATGGCTCAGAGGGAGCCTGACCCTGCAGAGTGGCCCTGGAAGAGGACATGTGTTCACCTCAGACCAGAAACCTATTCTGTTTGACTGGTTTTTTTTTTTCCCCTTTTTTTCTCCCCAAAGCCCCAGTAGATAGTTGTATGTCATAGTTGCACATCCCTCTAGTTGCTGTATGTGGGACACTGCCTCAGCATGGCTGGACAAGTGGTGCATGGGTGTGCACCCGGGATCCGAACCTGGGCTGCCAGCAGCAGAGCAGGCGCACCCAACCGCCAAGCCACGGGGCCGGCCCCCCACTGACTGGTATTTTGATGACAGTGCCAGTGGCCACATTTCATTTCTGTCTTTCCTTCCTCTTTCTTGACACTTTGCCGATTTTTTAACTCTGTTACTTGTCATTTCTAGTCTTACTTCCAGCCTGTAGTTAACCTCACATCTCTGGACTCTATGTCTCACCCCTTTTTCTCACCACTCCATCTGCAGTGCTTTCCACATTGGCCCCCATGTATTGTGTCACGAAGTGTGCACATATCCTTACACAGTCCTGGAGCACCAGCTGCCCTGTTATAGTTGTATTTTCTTGCGTCTTGCAACACCCTTCTGTACAGCATTCATGTGTGACCAGCAGACAAGTTCCTTCAGAAAGCTGTTTGCAGAGGAGTGAATTAGAGACCCTGTCTTTCCTCTCTGTGTCATGCCCCATGGTTATGTCCTTCATCTCATGAATCTTCTCTCATTCTGTCCTCTTTATAGCCCAGTACTGCTGAGTAGCAGCATCTTCAACCTGAACCAACTCCCTGGTCCTGCAGACAATCCTATGGACTGGTTCCTGGGTTTGTTAGACACACACTTGTGCGGTAGCTGCCCCTTCCCACCAAAGTCAACATGCACTTCACCAGCCTTTCTTGCTTTCAGGTTGTTGGCATGGAGCAGCGGATGAGGAGGTACCTGCCAAGCAGAGCATTTCTGTAGGAGGAGTGTCACAGGTGAGGACTCCCAAGGCAGGTGTGTCTCCCCAGAAGGCCCATTCTTGCGAGATATGTGACCCAGACTTGAGAGACATTTTGCACTTGAGTGAGCACCAGGAAACACATTGTGGGCAGAAGCTGTACAGAATTGGGGCATGTGAGAAACAATTGTGTTTCAGTGCAAAACCTCAGCCCCAGAAGCAGCACACTGGAGAGACATGCTTCAGAAGCAACGTGGGCAGAGCCTCATTTGTGAAGGACTGCAAATTCTGTGTGTCAGGGAAGCCATTTTCCTGTGAGGAGGTTGTGAGGGACATTGTGGCCAGCTTGAGATTTCTCCAGCATCAGGCCACACACACCAGGGAGAAGTCAAACAGGAGAACTGAATGTGGGGCAGCCTTTCATGGGGGAAACACTCAATACAACTTTGGAGAATGCACAAAAGCCTTCGATTGCAAACACATACTTGTTCAGCCCCAGAGAGTCCTCTCTAGAGAAAGAAGCTACACGTGCAGTGAATGTGGGAAATCTTTTAGCAAGAGCTACAGCCTCAGTGACCATTGGAGAGTTCACACTGGGGAAAAGACTTATGAGTGTGGGGAATGTGGGAAATCTTTTAGGCAAAGCTCTAGCCTTTCAACACCAGAGAGTTCACACTGGAGCAAGGCCTCACAAGTGTGATGAATGTGGAAGATTATTTAGCAACAAGTCCAACCTCATTAAGCATCGGAGAATTCATCGGAGAAGGGCCATATGAGTCTAGTGAATGTGGGAAATCTTTTAGCGAAAGCTCTGCACTCCTTCAACACCAGAGTGTTCACACTGGAGAAAGGCCTTATGAGTGCAGTGAATGTGGGAAATTCTTTACCTGCCACTTCACTCTGATAAAACACCAGAGAGTTCACTCTGGATCAAAGCCCTATGAGTGCAGTGAATGTGGAAAATCCTTTACTGAAAACTTCAGCCTCAATAAACACCATAGAATTCATAGTGGAGAAAGGCCTTATAAATGCAGTGAATGCGGGAAATCTTTTAGCCAAAGTTCACATCTCATTCAACATGGAAGACTTCATACTGGAGAAAGGCCTTATGAGTGCAGTGAATGTGGGAAATTCTTTACTTACAGCTGCAGTCTCTTAAAACACCAGAGAGTTCATACTGGATCAAGGCCCTATGAGTGCAGTGAATGTGGGAAATCCTTTACTCAAAACTCCAGCCTCGTTGAACACCGTAGAGTTCATAGTGGAGAAAAGCCTTATAGGTGCAGTGAATGTGGGAAATCTTTTAGCCAAAGATCTGCGCTTCTTCAGCATTGGAGAGTTCACACTGGATCAAGGCCTTATGAGTGCAGTGAATGTGGGAAATCCTTTACTCAAAACTCTGGCCTCTTTAAACACAGGAGAGTTCACACTGGAGAAAGGCCTTATAAGTGCAGCAAATGGGGGAAATCTTTAAGCAACAGCTCTGGCCTCATTAAACATTGAAGAGTTCATGCTGGAAAAAGGCCTAATGAGTGCAGTGAATTTGGGAAATCATTTAGCTGTAGCTCCAACTTCAATGACCACTAGAGTGTTCACACTGGAGAAAGGTTTTATGAGTATTTGAATGTGGGGAATTATTTACCTACAACTCCAGGCTCCTAAAACACTGTACCTTCAGATTGGACAAAGGCCTTATGAGTGTGTCAAATGTGGGAAATCGTCTAGCCTCGTTACACTCCAGAGACTTCACAGTGAAAAAGGCCTAATAAGTGCAGTGTATGTGAGAAAGGCTTCAGCCAAAGGACTTACCTCATTGGATACCACAAGTTTCAAATGAGAGAAATAGCATAAATGTGCAGGTATATACTATTTCTTTGTTCAGTGCAACAACACTGGAAGAGAGCCCTTACAAAGGTGCCATTTGCCTGTATTGAACCTCATACATCCGAACGTCCACGTAAATTCCAGGTATGTGGGAGCTGCACTGCACTTTTTAACCTGCCCAGGGCCATTGCCAGATTTATGTCACTGCTGGTTCTTTAGCAGAGGCCATTTCACCTCTACCACCTGGCAGGTGCCCACAGTGGGCAACATTCATCCATCTCAGTGTGTTCAGGGAAGTAAACCCCAGCGTTCTCCCATTTGTGGGACTATGCATGAATAGCCTGAGCACTTACTCTTTCCCCATTTTTTTCACTTCTGATGAGTTAGGGCATAGACCTTACCCAGTTTTGGCCTAGAGGACTCTGTTGGTGATTTGGAAAGATGGACTACATTTTTCAGGATATTATTGGTCTCGTGAGACTCTAGCAATGGAATTTTCCAGCCTCCAAATCACCAACCCGGGAACAGTCTGCCTCCCATTGCTCTTGTTTGTATGATAATAAAGGTCTTATTGTTTCAGCCACCATTAATCTTGGGGATTCTGTTCACTGTGTGGGGCGGTTTGAAGTTAACTGGGTTTGCCAAAGCGAAGAGTGAACAGCTTTGGTTGAGATCTCAAACCGTGTGTGCCTCGGAAGGGGCAGTATGATGGCAGAATAAACCTCTCCCGTTTTGGCCTTATTTGCATTGTTGCTCAAAACCTTCAAGGAAAGACTGCAGGGCTCTGTGGTCCTAATTTGTAACTTGGATGCCATGATATTTTGTAGGTTCAGAGTTCAACCTGAAGAGGGGGCAGTTGTTGGTTGTTGTGACAACCTTCAGTGCTTCTGAGAACAACATGAACTTGTTCTCTTGTCCACAGGGTACACTGCATTGTGCTCAGCACTTCTGAGGGAAATTGGTTCCCCAGGTGCTGCAGCAGAGCCATGGACCTGATGTCCTAAATTCTGTAGGGGAACATCACTGGTTTTAAGATTATAAAGGCTAGGGGAATGAGAATTGTTACCGAAACACTGGATTAATAGAGAGTGCAGGAGACTGCAACAGACTGGTTAGAATGTGCCTCTTTTAAAAGGTTATCCATAGTGTTTAGTCACTATGGCTGTGAAGGACAAGCAGGTAGAAAAATTCTCAGGATCTCCAGAACTGTGTATCTTGTGTCGCTGAGGGCCTTGTCAGAGAAAATAATCTAAAGGTTTTGTGGATTCCTGTGGCCTCTCTGGGCTGTTTATTTAAGGCTATTGCCTCAGAAGCAGGAAAACAAGGAAAGAGAAAGGGAGATCTCTTAGTCCAGTATGTGGTCTTGTGACCTGGCTGGTATTTCTGGCGGAAACAGCCTTCATGGCTCACCTATTTTTGCTGCCACTGAGGTAAGTGCTCCTCGCATGAGGAGAGAGATGGTGGAGTCAGTATGGTTACCAAACCTGATTTTCTAAAGAGCAGGAAATCCACACTTTTAATTTGAACCTTTTTTTTTTGGTGAGGAAGATCAGCCAACATCTGCTGCCAGTCTTCCTCTTCTTGCTGAGGAAGATTTTCCCTGAGCTAACATCTGTGCCAATCTTCCTCTATTTTGTGTATGGGATGCCACCACAGCATGGCTTGATGAGCGGTGCATAGGTCTGTGCCCGGGATCCAAATGTGCAAACCCCAGGCCACTGAAGCGGAGCACACGAACTTAACCACTATGGCACCGGGCCGGCCCCTGAACCATTATCTTTAAAGTTTTATTATGACATGGAATAAACTATCCATATTTAAACCGTACAATTTGATAAATTTTGACATTCATATAAACCCATGAAACCATCAATCATGATGATAAAACCTTTCCATCACCCCCATATTTACCTTGTGTCCTTTAATCTCCCTGTCCTTCAGGCAGCCCCTGATTTGCTTTTCATTATAATAGATTAGTCTGCATATTCTAGAATTTTATATGATTGAAATCATAAAGTGTTTAGTGTTTCTTTACTTTAGGTACTCTCATGTGACATATTTATTTTGAAATTCACCAATGGTGCTTATATGAGTAATTCATTCTTTTTATGTTGAGAAATATGTTCTAGTGATATATCATATTTATTTGTTAATCTGTTTATGGATCTTTTCATTGTTTCCAGTTTTGGCTATTGCAAATAAAACTGCTGCAGAAATTAGATACATTCTTCATATTGATAGGATTCCTTCCTCTTGTGTTAGTACCTCGAAGTACGATACCTGAGTCAGAGTGTAGGTGAATATATAACTTGTTAAGAAACACCAAATTGTCATCTAAAATGATTGTTCCCTTTTGTATTCCAACCAGCACTGTATGAGATTTCCAGTTCTCCCTTATCCTTGCTAAGTGGCTGTGGTTAGTCTTAAAATTTTGACCCTTTTAGCGAATGTGTAGCAGTATCTCACTGTTGCTTTAGATGCATTTCCCTGATGTTTCATGATGTTGAGCATAGCTAGTGTACAAGAAATGTGGCGGAAGGGGTGAGCATGTTAAACAGTATGAAGAATCAACAAGCCAAATCTGGATTGTGGCAAAATCTAATGGACAAATGGTTTAGCAACTTCAAGTGAAGAATAAGAATTAAAAAGTGGGAAGTGATACATATAGGTTAAAAGACTTGTAGGATACACCTAAGGATAAATTTTGCATCTGGATTACAGTCAATCTGCATTAAATAACGACTACAACTGACAAAATTCAGCACTTAGAACAATTTATTGTATTTTAAATATTGTGATTTTATGTGGCGATGTTATTGGAGTTAGATAAGAGCCTTTACATTTAGGAACACATTCTGAAGGGGTTTTGTGTAGAATGACCTGATATCTGGGATTATGAATAAAATCAGTCACTAAGTGCTTGGGGATAGATGAAACAAGAACGACCATAAACTGATAAATACTGACAGAGTAATGACTTCCTAACAGTCTTTCCCATTTTTGATATATTCAGAAGTAGCCATTACAAAGGGTAGAGTATGTCCTGTTATGAGTCCTTTCATATGGTGAGAAGGATAAATTGAAAAGGGCAGGAGGAAACCTCTAGTTTCACTACTCGAAGCCAATAAACATCAAAATATATGTTTTAAATATGAGCAGTTTAAGTCAATTATGTCTGAATTAAACTGTCTAAAAAACAAACATTCAAAACTTGTCACTTCCTAATCTTTTTTTCTCTTCATTTTAATAGATATGACTAGTTTGTGTGTGTGTGTGTGTGTGTGTGTGGCCATATTATTCCATTTTATTTGATCTGATATACAAAAATCCTACAAAAGTTCTGAGGGCCCTTTATAGCTTTAAAATAGAAAGAAACAATTAGTATTAACCATAGAAAGTTGGAACAGGAAAAAGCCTTAGATGTCATGAGACCCCTCTGCTTTCTTCTACAGAGAAGTCAGGGCCCAGGGAGGGGAAGTGACTTGCACAGCTAGTTAGTATCAGGATTGGAAGTAAAACCCAGGCTTCCTAACCCTTGGTCCAATGTTCTGTTTTGTTTCATATTTACATTTTTAATTTTTTTATTTAAAGACTTTTTTTTTTTTTTTTTTTTTTGTGAGGAGATCAGCCCTGAGCTAACATCCGCCAATCCTCCTCTTTTTTTGCCGAGGAAGACGGCCCTGGGCTAACATCTGTGCCCATCTTCCTCCACTTTATATGGGACGCCGCCACAGCATGGCTTGCCAAGCAGTGCGTAGGTGCGCGCCCGGGATCCGAACCAGCGAACCCTGGGCTGCCGCAGCGGAGCGCGCGCACTTAACCCCCTGCGCCACCGGGCCGGCCCCTTAAAGACTTTTTTTAGAGCAGTTTTAGGTACATAGCACAATTAAGAGGAAGGTAGAGATTTCACATATACCCCCTGCACCCACACATGCATCGCCTCCTCCGTTATCTTGTCCACCAGCAGAGTAATACATTTGTCACAATTGATGAACCTACTTTGATACATCAGTATCACCCAGTGTCCATAGTTAACATTGGGGTTCACTCTTGGTGTTGTACCTTCTGAGTTGGAACAAATTTATAATGATATGTATCCACCATTGTAGTATCTCGTTCAGTAGTTTTGCTATCCTAAAATCTGTATTTTGTATTTTGCCTGTTTGTCCCTCCCTTGCCCCCACATTCCCTGGGAACCACTGATCTTTTTTTTTTTTTTTTTTTTTTTGTGAGGAACATCAGCCCTGAGCTAACATCCATGCCAATCCTCCTCTTTTTGCTGAGGAAGACTGGCCCTGGGCTAAATCCGTGTCCGTCTTCCTCCACTTTATATGGGATGCCGCCACAGCATGGCCTGACAAGCGGTGCATCGGTGCGTGCCCGGGACCCAAACCCATGCTGCCAGCATTGGAGCGCGCGCACTTACCCACTACACCACGTGGCCAGCCCCACAATTATGCATGTTTTCAAGATAAATATAATAGTTCTCAAGTAAGAGGACTCCACACCACTTGTCACGCAGAATTTATCTTAATTTTAGCTAGTAATTGGGGTGACCATCTGTGTTAGCTTATTGGCTTTATCAGGAGGAAAAACAAACTTCTTTTATCTGTATGACAGGAAGTAGTTTTTCAACTTTGAACAAGGTACCCACCGAGGTCAGGCTCCTACCCTCCCATGGGAACTGGCACTGGGAGATAGAGGAGCTCTCTCGCTTGATGTTTGCATTACACAATGATGGCTCTCAGGATCCTTCCATTTTAAAGCTATGGTGCTTAAGAAAGATGTGCTGGGTGGTGAATCTGGGGGGAAAAAGCCCAACTGACAGAAGGCCTATCTAGTCTTCAAAGGGATGCATTTTAGAGATGAGAAAGTGCTTACAACTTCTCTAAGCTAAATACTCTGACGAAAGGGATGAGGAGAATCTCTCCATTTTCAGCAGGGGGAATTCTGCCTCATATTTAATTTGTATTTCACGCACCTGGAAACAGTATAATTGACATTGTAGCAACTGATGGGTGTACCTAAGAAGGTATCCTTTGTGAGCGCTTCTTTCAGGGGAGCAGTCTTAGGGTCTAAATTGCATATTGTCGTAACAAGTGTAGAAAGAGGACCACTGGTTAAACAGAACTTTAGTTCCTTTTTGTCCTGTAAGTAAGCAGTACTGCAGGGTCCACTTAGGGGACTCTGGTGTCAGGTAACTTATGAGGAGCTGAAAACTTCCTTGCTGGTGAATCCACCCAAACCCTGTCCCTCTTTTTCCTATTTGTAGCCCTCCTCTCCTTTCTTTTCCCTCCCTCTACAGTGTTCTGAACTGGCTGAAACAAGTCAGTGTCCCTGGAGTTTGCAACTTCCTGGTGGAGGAGACATTTCTGGAAAATGGATGTTCAACCTGGTTGTGTTCAAATCTCTGGTATTGTCAAGGACCCCAAATCCCAGCTAGAAAAAGAAAAGTTTGTTAAATCATTCAGTCTGTGCACACACAGTCAGTCACTCCATCTTTCGATTGAGCCAAGGGATGAGAAAACATGGTTGGAAAAAGTCTAGTAGACCTCGTCTGGAAAGGATTTGAAGGTTAACCAAATTTTAA